TGGCCTGGAGTCTACTAAGTAGGTTGGTCTGGCTGGACAGAGAGCTGCAGGGATCTTCCTACCCCTGCCTCCCCAGTACTGGGAATTCAAGTGAGTACCAGGACACCAGGCTTTTCTAAGGTTACAGGCACTGAACTCAGTTTTCATGCTTGCAGAGTGAGCATTTCACCTCCTGAGCCCTCTCCCTAGCTGTGTGAACTTACTCTTCTTTGTATTCTGTTCCCAGGTGAACACATACAGAATCCCTGTTTAGGATGACGGGGGTTTGAGCTCTCTGTCTAGTTTGAATTCAAGCAGAAGAAAAATGGCAGAATGTTGACTATTGATGACTCTGTCTTCTTCAGCCAATTGCGCATATTCACCTGTATTTTTAAAATGTGAATCATTTCTAATATTAAATGATTACTTATTTAGCCCCATAATTTTAGAAACATGCACTAGAGTTTCAAAAGAGGAGAAAAAAAAAATCACTGTGGATTTGCCTTTTAGGAAGAACTACTATCATGTTAATGTATCAACTCTCTTTTTTTCTATAGCTTTCTATGGTGAGTTTTACATTACAAAACATAAAATTTAGTCATATTTTCAAATTAATTTGTAACAAAAACATTTCCCAGTTTATTTCAAACTTTTTGTACATCTTTTGAAAAATAACTGCATGGTCTTTTATATTGCTGAATTCTTACTGTTGGAAATTTAAGGATTTTTTTTTTTTAAGTATAAGTAATGTTATGGAGACTATCTTTATCCAGATAAATATTTCTCTCCTTTGAAAATTATTTCCTCAGGAGAAATTATTGGGCTGAAAGGAATGGATTTTTAGAATTTATTTTCTGCTTGATTATCACAGTAAGGTGAGTTTATCATTGGCATGTAAAATATAATAAAACTGGGGAAGAAAAAAGTGTTCAGCATCTTCTGCCTGGAGGCTGATGTTAGCATTTTGACATGATTTCTTCTGATACAGCCAGTTATTTTCTTTCTTAGTAAGACTCAAGGGTATGAACATTTTTAAGGTTTTCGATAATGCTGCCAAGATTGCTTTCAACTCTTCAGTTTATTCTTCCAGAAGTGTATGAGTTGCAACCATTTTGAAAACACAAGCTTCTAAAATTTGTCAAGGAAGTTTGCTTGTTTCCAAACTTTCTACACCTTTGCTGTGACTCACTGAAAGTCCACGAGGCTGCCTAGGAAGTGTTGGCCATTATAGGGACCTGTTTGATTGTGACAGCTGGAGAAGTCAGCTCACTGGGGCGGCCTGATGAGACAGGCTACTGGCCATTCACAAATGCAGAAAGAAGAAAGGAGTCCTCTAGTAAGAGGCCTCCGGAATATGATGTACGTGGGAGTAATGATAGCTTTCTATAAACTGGAGGACATGAACAGGGCTGGTGTAAACTTGGGCCCCATCAGGCTTTCCCAGAAGATGAGAAATCAAGATTCTAGCCTCCTGAAATTGGTTATTGTTCATCTGGGCTAGCTTTGCATCCAAGTGAGAGAAATATGTCCTCTAGGAAGAGCAGAATCTCTCTCTCTCCCCTCCTTTCCCCTTCCCCCTCTTTTACTCTAGTTCTGTTCTCCTCCCCAGTTCATGCAGCAATCTTGTTCTCTGGCTAGAGGTGCTGTTTTGGAAGGCTGGTAGAACCTTTAAGAGGTGAGGCATGGCTGGTGGAAGTAAGTCACTATCACCAGAATAAGGTCTCTCGTTCTGGCAAGTGTTTACTTCCTGTCCATTGCCGTACGGACAGCTACCGTTACACACCACAGCTTTGCTGCTCTGGACTGAGTCATTCCAACATGGCTTCTATGTTGTAAAGGAATGGAATCCACTCTTTTTTTAAAATTCCTATTTATTTATTTATTTATTTATTTATTTATTTATTTATTATTTATTTATTTACCTTTCCACTCTTAAGCTTTTTTCTGTCAAGCACTATGCTCAATATGATGCAAAATAATAATAATAATAATAATAATAATAATGATGATGATGATGATGATGATGCACACAGGACTGAGATACTTCCCTGTAGAAGGCACATGTTTTTCCTAATACTCTTGTCTTACATGTTAGCTGGTCTATATAGAATACATGATATAAGAAAGCTTCTTTCCTGGTGCACACCTATAAGCCCAGCACTTGGCACTTGGCAGAGGCAGGCAGATGGCTGTGAGTTCGAGGCCAGTGTGGTCTACAAAGTGAGTCCAGGACAGCCAAGGCCAAACAGAAAAACCCTGTCTCAAAAAAAACCCAAACCAACACAACACAGCACAACACAACACAACACAACACAACACAGCAGAAAGTTTCCTTTCTTTGGATTCTCTTATCAGAAGTCATTCAACGGTTCAATAGTTATTAACTGAGTTCTAGTATATACTGGGTACTTTACCAAACATTGGGGACAGAAAGCTGGCACACACACCTTGTGACTCTCACATGTTCACAGCTATAAGGAAGGAAACACAAGAAGTTCATCAGGAGTAGGTCCACATTCCATGGCAGACTTACTCAGCCAGTGGAGAGGCTTCCAAAAGCAGTATGCAACATGAAGAAATCTACAAACCTGGAAACAATAATGAATATGAGACAGAGCTCGGGGTTTGGGGGATGAATGACCTTTTGTGTGTGCCCTTAACACCAAATTTCAGACAGTACTAGGAAGTGTAATAGGGGCTGAGGATGTGAAAGAAGGAAGCCAAGGCTAGAGTCTGATGAATTCTGTCACATACGGACATTAGAACTTGTTTTGCAGTGCAACTCTGGAAATATCTATGACCCACAACTGGCATTTGCAGACTGTTGGGGATGAGGGGCACTACTCCCATATTAATGGTACTAATGCAAGCAATGGGAGGGCGTTGGGTTGAAAGTGATTAGGAGGCAGCTGAAACTTTGAAAAACCTAGGAAAGAACAGTGAGTAATCACTTCACAAAAACTCCAAACCAGACACGAGAAGCTCTCTTGAGTTGTTGATCAAGACTGCCCCAGACACTCCCAAAATATATAGCCAGTCACTGTTGTCCTTGGTTACCTCCAGAAGTGGAAAAAGGGTCTCTATTGCTGAAGACACCATGCACTTCAGAAATAGGCCCAGAAGCCCCTGAGCTGGAGCTGACATGAAAATACTCTCCCTGTGGACTAGAGTTCATGGTACCAGAATGCTCCATGCAAGCTTGTGAAGGAGGAAACAACCACCCTACCCAGTACTCCCCAGCTATGATGAGTATGAACCACACCAACAAGCACCATGGTATAATAACCCTAAGGATGCAGCAAAGGCACAAATACCTTGTAAGTAACCAACAGTTTTCTAATTGGACTTAAGACTTGCTCAACAAGAGGGAAAGCATGTCCATACCAGAAACCTTGCTAAATACTTGGTGCTGGTGATTACTTGTTATTGGAGGAGAATCTACAACAACTAACTTACTAAACCAGCATAATCCATAACAACGATTTACAGACATTTGTCCTTATACCCACCGATAGTGAGATCTTCACCTCTCATCAAGGAAACGCCTCTTTGCAACAGCCCGACACCATTACAGAAAGCCACAACCAATAGGGACACAGCTTTGGAGCCTAGTCCCAACGGATACAAATACAAAATATGCTTAAGACCCAGAAAATATTGAGGAAGAGGAGGTAGAAAATTGTCAGAGCCAGAGGATCAGGGAGTTTGCTGTGAGATTGTGTCTCTTAGAAGCTACACCCATGAAGTCTCACCCCCAAGTGTGATCTGCACAAGGATGACAGCAATGAACACACCAAACACAACAGAGAAAAGCAGAAGATGAGCCCTCAACACTACACAAAGGACTATAGGTAACTGAGGAAAGCTGGGAACAACAGAGGCGGTCGGTCCTCTCCAGGCAAGAGCACACCAATTGGTTGTTTAGTGCCCAATGGTCAGCCCTGAAAACATAATACAAGCAGCAATATGTGGTCACATACATTGCATCTATGTGCATGCAATAAGAATTAGGGGGGGGGAGAGTTCTAGTGATAGAATCCAGACTGAGGAGTGTGCGAGCTCAGGTTGGCCAAGTAAGTAAATTATGCCACTAGTGAAAGCAGGGAGGAAGACCCATCGGTGGACATGTTGACCCCTAAGCATGAGGTGGTCAGTTCACACGTGTTAGGTCTGTAGAATGTGTTAGGATTGTAGGACTGTCCATGGGGCCCGCATCTCAGGCTTCTTTGATAGTCATCTCCTTAACTGTCCCAGAGATGGTAATTGACTGAGTCCACTAGACTGCAGGGGCTAGTGCTGGCTGCGAGGGAAGATTTCATTTACTTTTCTTGTATTTGTTTGAGGATTTTGCCTGCAGCAGAAGATGATGAAGCCTTGGAAATGGACCCACGGATGGTTGTCTGGTACTGTGTGGGGGCTGGGAATCAAAGCTGGGTTCTCTGGGAGAGCCGCAAGGGCTCTTAAGTAGTTACTTTGGTAGAAGACTCAGCTCCTGGAGCCGTTGTCCTCCTACTCTAAGAAGTCCCAAGAAACTTTTGTATTCAGAGCCCTATGAAATACTGTTTGAAAAACTGGTGGGCCAGACGTGGTGTTGGAGTCGCGTGGACATGTATTCGAATCTCCTCACTAGGCTATAGTTGTTTTCGTTAACAATGACAAGGCAATTACTAACTGATTAAGTGTCCCATCTTTACAGAGTTGGTACTCGATCTTGTCATAAACGTTTTGCCCCCAGAGTAAGAAAAGCCAGAGTTAGGGGGAAGTTAGGAGTATGCGGGAGACCAGGAAGAGAACTCAACTTGTCCTCTGTCCCATCTACTCCACAGAGCCACAATCACCTGCCTTTTCATGAGGTCTATCAATATTTAATGTGTGGGTGTCAGTTGCTGTAATTGAGCATTTTCCAGAGCCTCCTTGAATTAATCATATGCAGGAGGAGAGAAAATAAAATGCCCTTTTCTCAGAGCCTGGTTCCACTGGCTACTTGGAAGCCTGCAAACCACAGCGTGAACTTTCTGCTGATGGAGGACCCTGAAAAGAAACTGAATCAGAAAAGCGACGACAAACCCCGAAAAGTACGATTTAAAATCTCCTCTTCCTACAGCGGTCGAGTGTTGAAGCAGGTTTTTGAGGATGGGCAGGAATTAGAGTCACCCAAAGAGGAGTACCCTCACAGTTTTCTCCAGGAGGCCCTGGAACCAATGGACGGCGTTTACGGCTCTGGGGAAGCCCCCAAGCCCGAACTGTACTCCCCCAAGCCTCAGCTGTACTCCCCCAAGCCTCAGCTGTACTCCCCCAAGCTGACTGCTCAGAGGATCAGCGTGTTTAGAGACGGCAGTGCCTACACTCTGGCCGGCAGCCAGCCTCTGTTCAATGACTACAAGGCGAATGACCGTAAGGTTGGTATTGGGTGAGGTTATGGCCTTCTAGGGTAGGCTCCTTGAAATATGTCTAGAGAAATGCCAGAGTACCTGAGACACGCATCTCGCTCACACCCCGCTACTGGCCAGAGCTTTAGGGGCATCGAGTGGGGAGCTGTTATTAGAATAATATTTCTTGGACAAAAATAACACGCGGGTTGACTGCTCATTGGAAAGCACGAAGAGTATAAGCAGCGTTCAAATTCCATCCAGGGTAATACACTGTAATTGGGTCTTTGGCTGAGTTTCCTCAGCGTGTAAATTAAATAGCGGTGCAATGGTTTTCGGGTTGCTTGGCTGTCGCTTTATAGCATTATGCAGCAGTAGGTCATTTCGTTTCCTGAAAGAATTGAATATTTGAAGGTACCTATTTTGCTCCAGCCAATTACTCGGCTGTACTTTATCCATGTCTCATTTTTTTTTCCCTCTCCTTATCACCTTCCCACTGCCTGCTTTTTTAAATTGTTGGTATATTTATTTAGTTTTGCCTTCCCAGCGCTCATTAATACGAGCGCTGTGGAGCTAGGGTCCTGGGAAGAAGTGGAGAAAAAGCAAGTCAAACAGAAGACGTGTTTCTTATGGAAGAAGTGTGAACTGATAGTTTGATGATGCAAGCTGTTCCTACAGGTTTCCTTAGCTTCCCTGGTATCGTGGATAATCAAAACACTCAGTGATTTCCAGACTCTTAGGAGGTGGCTGTGTGCTCATGGTGGTGGAAGTATGAATGCTGTTTTTTTTTTAAGAGTACATGTGATTATGTAAGACATCCAAGTTATTACTGGTTACTATACCATGCTATGTTTTAGCGTTTGAAGGCTTTTATTCAGATAATTATTTTAAATCATTTTTACTGTTATTTTCCTAAGAATGTAGGTATGGCAACAAATGTTTTGGATTTGGTAATACTGGCAAAAAGATAATTGTAGGCATAGCCACAGTTACCAAAACCAATACTAGATTTCATTTTTGTATTAGAGGTTGGAGTGCCTTAAATAAACTGTTACAAAGTGCTGTTACAGATTTTCTTCTATGTCTATCATGTTTTTTTTTTCTTTACCATATTCTCAAGAAAAAAGGCAAGGTGTGATCATTTCAATTTCGTGAAAGAGGAAAATTATGTGCCAAGTTGATAAAGGACCCACACACCATTATAAGGACCTAAGGTGCCGGCTCAAACTAGGAATCTGTATTCTCTGGTTTTCCATACTTTAATCTCTATGACGTGTTTCTATTTAACAAACAAAATCATTACATAGCAATGATGGCAATGATGATGGTGGTGGTATTTGCCAATTATTTGGGTCTTAGGTACTTAGCTATGTTTTGTGCTTACAATGATAGTTCTTTGTAACTGTATCTTATTTGGAAGTTTTGAATCAACAAAGGCTTAGTTTATATAAGCCATGATAGATAATTTAAGCTACTTCATCAGTCATTCGCCAACTTTGGCACGTAAGAATGATTTGATTAAAACACAGTATTCCAGAGGCCATGTTGAAGGTTGGAGTCCTTTTTGGTCTCATTATACCTTGTCTTCTCTGTTGTCTTATCAAATGCTGCGTCCTCATGTTGCCAAGGTCTGAGTGTAACAGGGACCAGGATGGACTTGTGCAGCATGCCTAGTAAAACAGTTCAGTATGGTATTCATGCAAAATAAGAAAGCAAAAGCTGGTGCTTCATGACTCCCCAACAGCAGATGGAGCTGTAAATTTACCCTCCGCCCCCCATAAATGCTGCCTGTGATAGAGTGATGAGTTGCAGTTGAGTGCAGTGATTCACCTAAGGGTTTGGAATGCAAACAGATATTCGTATACCACTGTTCACAGAAATTCACAACAAATTAGAGGTGGAAGCAACGTCAATGTTCATCAGTTGATGAATGGCTACACAGGAAGCGGTACATACACATAATGGGATATTAGAACAACTTACGAAATTTTGACATACTTTAACATAGATGAAGCTTGAACACATTAGGCTAAATGAAATAAGCCCTGCAGAAGCAGGCAGACCTGCACCATTGCAGCTACATGATGTACTTGGACTGCTTTCAAATTAACAGAGACAAAAAGTAGATGGTGTTTGTCAGGCTAGGGGTAGAGAAGATGTTACTGTTCATGGATCTGGTATCTCAGTTTGGGGAGGATAAAGTTCTGGAGAGAAATGTCATAGAACAATTTGAATACCAGGGAACTCTACACTTATAAATGGTTAAAATAGTAAATTGTATGCTGTATTTATTTTACCCTAATCGTAATAACAAAACAGAACATGGGTTCTGATGTCTGTCAAAGTCTACTTCTACCCACTTCCTGTGGGAGTTTGTACAAAGTGCGGACTTTGTTGAGCCCCAGTGTCACCATCTTGGCCTTAGAATAACATGAGTCTTCAGAAGAGGGCCATTCAGATGATTAAACAGACAATGCCTGCAAAATGGCTCATACGCTGTATGTGATTAACAAATGATACCTACTGCTGCAGTGATGAAAAAGTCCTTGAGGAAATGCTGAGTATTTTATTTTATTTTATTTTATTTTATTTTATTTTATTTTATGTGACGTGTATAAAATGTGGTGATAGATTTTAAAAAAAGTTAAGGAATCAAAACTCACTAAAATGTGTAGTGTTCATGAAGTTGCGGACAGGAAAAGGAAAGAAGGTAACAATTACTGAACACCCGATTTGTATGTATTAAATAATCTCGTAATGACAATATTTTGAAAATGATAAAGAATTCTTTAAATTGGAAAAACAGATTACTGGGATAAAATAATGTGTCCATCTAACATAACTGTCAAATAACATTTGAATAAAATTTGAATTGGAGCTGGGTGGTGGTGGCATATGCCTTTAATCCCAGCACTCAGGAGACATAGGCAGGTACATCTCTGAGACTGAGGCCAGCCTGGTCTACAAAGTGAGTTCCAGGACAGCCAGGGCTGCAAAGAGAAACCGTGCCTTGAACAGCAACAACAACAAATTTTGAATTGGGTTTTCCTGACTCCAAAGCCCATGAAGTTTCTAGTATCTAACAAGGCTTCTCTGTATTCAGGAGTGCCTCAATAACCGTCTCCAGGCATGTGGCTACAGAAAACAGAATACTTACAGATACTTTCTCACATAAACTGCTCTTCTAGACCGTATGCAAGAAGCTGAAGGATTCTTGGCTCCATCCAGCCCTCTATAATACAAGAGTGGATTTTCCTCATGGGCAGCTGGATGTAACCAGACCTTGTGAACTTCAGTTACACCCAGAGAGTTTGCTCAGACACAAGTGGGAATCTGGCTGGCAAGAGGGATGAAACTAAACACATATGGAGAGTGACTGGAACCCTCCATCCTTGCAGTAAAAATATTTACTACCTTAGATGTTGACTGGGATCTTAGATAGATGTTTAGGGGCAGGGAGCTGAAGTAGGTGATCATTCATTTCTTTGAGCATATTAAGAGTTTAGTTTTCAAGAGAAGAAACTCAAAGAAAAGATCTCTAGATGTGAGGAAGCTTCCCAGTAACTGAACCTTTTGGCTATTACAGGAAGAAGAAATAGAACCTTCAAAAAGTACCACCATCCTTATCTTCCAATGTCGGAAACTGATAGTCCAGAGTGTGAAATGGGAGTCCAGTGTGCATAAAACAGTAGGAAATGGAATCTGCCACAGGATCCCTTGAAGAGGGAGAAAAGAGGTCCAGACAGGAAGCCTGGGGCTTACGTAATCATTGAAAACCCCATGGCTGTTTGTTTATAGGCGTCCGGATGGTAAAGACTTACTCATGTTAAATTTCTACTGAATTCTTTAAATATGAGAGTGTGTAACTGTGGAATCATCGAAGCAGACTGGGTCTATCCAGTTTTAGAATCAGGAAAAATCTTTCTTGCTGGGGTATTTGGTTGTATGGCTTGAGTGTGCATAGCCTGCTGAAGAACAGAGTTTAATAACAGCTGTGACCATGCTGACATTTGCATATTTTCAGCAGCTTTTGCAAATCACACTTTCTTCTGTCTTCTCTGCTGAGAAGATACTATCACCCTTCTAGAGTCAAAGTATGCAATTGTGTGGATATTTCCAGCACAGAGGCCAGCAAAGAGTTGGGGAAGGACCCGTGGAACTTGGTATCTTAACCATTAACCCATATTTTGGAGCAGGGGAGGGTCTCTCTGTAGAGCTTTGTCCTGGAACTCTCTCTGTAGACCAGGCTAGCCTCAAACTTACAGAGATTTGCCTGCTTTTGCCTCCTAAGTCTGGGATTAAAGGTGTGTCAACACCACTGGGCTGGCATTAACCCTTATGTTACTGAGCTTGACAATGTTGGAAGCTCCTCATAGGAGACTGAATGATATATGGCAGGACCCAAGAGTTTCAGCTCATCTGTGCACCACCAGTGTGGAAGTACTTACTTTTCATTTAAGGAACTAGCTTGTCTGTGGGAATGCCTACCAGCTGGGTGTCAAGACACATGCTGATGACCAAAGTGGAGTTCATCAGAGTACATGGCTGCTCTGAGAATTGGAACTAGTAGATGACAGGACTGGAATCCAAGACTGGTTCCCTCCATGCTGTGTACGTTGGTAGAATTGTGTGTTCCTGGTCCGGTGGTACCTGAACATTTACTCCTTTGGTTGTTTTTCATTCTCTTGCTCTTTCTCCTCCTCCTCTTCCTCTTTCTTCTCTTCTTCATTCTCTTTCTTCTTTTCCACCTCTTTCTCATCTCCACCCCTTCTTTTCTCTGTGCCCTCCTCCCCCTTCGCCTGCATCTCTTTCCTCCTCTTCCTCTTGGGCTTTCTGAACCTAAGGCTTCACATGTGCTAAGCAAGCTCTCTGCCAGTGAACTACAATCTTACATCCCTGCCTTTCATCTAGCTTCTTTAACACACTATAGCAATTCCCATTTTTTTTTCATGAGCAAAGCATTAAGTAACACATGGTAAACACATAGAAGGAAATGTTAGCTATTAACAATGATCATTTAGAAGTATATTGAAATAAAATATTCCATATTATGGGATTATGACAACATATATTTATTTATGGGTCTGTTGTAGCATATATATATATATTTATTTATATCTATATATCTGTATAGAGAGATTTGAGGAGAAAGGAATGCTTCTGAATACTGAAGTGTAGGTATTAAGACTAGGCATGGTGGAGCATGTGTTTAATCCCAGCACTTGAGAGCAGATGCAGTGTATCTCTATGAGACCAGCCTTTCATAGTGAGTTCCAGGAAGACCATCTCTGAGAGAGAGAGAGAGAGAGAAAGAAAGAAAACAACGGGCTGGGCTTTAGGGGCTAGAGAGATGGCTCAGTGGTTAAGAGCACTTGCTGCTCTTGCTGAGGACCCAGGTTCAGTTCCCAGCACCCACATGCTACTCACAACCATCCATAATTCCAGTTCCAGGGGATCCAATGTCCCATCTGACATCTGTAGGCACCAAGCTATATGGGACGCACATACATATGTATAGGCAAAACACTCATATACATAAAGTAAAATGAATGAGTATAAAATAAAAAAAAAGAAAAAGAAAAAAAGAAATATCTTAGGTTTGAATCCCAGCTACGGTTCTTGAGTCAATCTGTCACCTTACTGAGGTACTTGACCCCACTGAGATTTATTCCTCACCTGTAAATTGTGGAAATCATACACTTACTTCATAGGAATGTTTGGTAGGGAAGTAATGTCAGTAAAATGCTTAGCATGATACCTGACACACAGATAATGTTCTGTAAGTGGTATGTGCTAATATTATTTATATTATAGACAAATTAGAGAAATATTCACATGAGACTGAAGTGTCCCTTTGCATGTGCCCAGCCCTGCACTGGCTGTCCTGGGGAACAGTATAGGAACAGAAGCTCTGGACTCTGAGCTTTTTGATCTTGCCCTGTGTGGTCCAGCCTTCCTCCATTCCTATCTACTTTGAGAAGGAGTAAGCAAACCTTGGAAGGAAACCTTGGAGTGGCATGAATCACAGTTTTGACAGGTGCAAAGCTCTTCTCCTCTTTCTTGGAATGGGGCATTGGATAGGTTCCACAACCACACATTTGGTGATGGCTGATGCTCACTCTCTGTTTCTCTAGCCTCCACCTATTATAGACTTTGGGAAGATAATAATCTACACGAACAACCTGAAAATCATCCGAACCCCGATGGACAAAAGGGACTTCATGAGGAAAATCCTCCAAAAGGAAGAGATTGCTGAGGAAGACTGTCTGTTGAGCACAGGAGAAAATGATGGAGACAGGGAGCAGAATGGCAGCCCCCTGCCAGAGACGGAGCACACATTTCTCCAGAATCAGCACACACAGGTACGCCAAGGCCACTGTTCCTCTCAGGCTGGCTCTGCAGCAATGGTCTACAGACTGTTCTGCTCCTGTGTTACCTCTCTAAACATTTTCGAATAATAACACTTACAATATCTGTTAAAGTGCAAGGGAATTTTAACGTCTATTGAATTGTAATGGCATATTGTTGGTATAAGCAGTTATAATTTCATATTTAGCATATTTATACTTTAAAATTTTTTGGATGACTTTTCACATTTGACTTGGAATTTATTGTTTTCACTGTGAGATGTGGCTTATAAACCCCGAGTTCTAGAGATGAAGAATATTAGCTCTATTTGTTTATTTTTCTGAGACAGGTTGTACAGCTCAGACTGGCTTCCAACTCCCAGTGTAGCTGAGGATGATCTTGAACTTCTGATCCTCCTGCTTCTTCCTTGAGAGTACTAAGATTACACACACACACACACACACACACACACACACACACACCCCACTACTCCAGGTTTAAATGGTGTTGGGCATTGAACCCAGGCTTCCTGCATGCCAGGCAAATATTCTACCAAGTGACCTTCATCCCTAACCTCAGTTCTGCCTTTTTCTTTTAGGTTCACTTGTGCCTCTTTTGTTTGTCCAAGTCTTAGGCTACTTATCAGTGAAGATACTGTAAAGTCTTGAGTCCATTGGAAATTAGTTGAGTTGAAACTTGTACCATTTGTAAATCCATGAGCACAGGCACCTGTGAACTGCAAGTTCTTGTAATATACTCAATATAAAATTGAGTGATTGACAAGGAGAGCAACAGAACCAGAAAATTTGAACACAGGGGTCTTTCCAGAGACTCATACTCCAACCAAGTACCATGCATGGAGATAACCTAGAACCCCTGCACAGATGTAGCCCATGGCAGTTCAGTGTCCAAGTGGGTTCCATAGTAATGGGAAGAGGAACTGCCTCTGACATAAACTGATTGGCCTGCTCTTTGATCACCTCCCCCTGAGGGGGGAGCAGCCTTACCAGGTTTCAGAAGATGACAATGCAGCCACTCCTGATGAGATCTGATAGACTAAGATCAGAAGGAAGGAGAGGGAGACCTCCCCTATCAGTGGACTTGGGGAGAGGCATGTGTGAAGAAGGGGGAGAGAAGGTGGGATTAGGAGGGGAGGAGGGAGGAGTTTATGAGAAGATACAAAGTTAATAAAGTGTAATTAATAAAAGTTAAAAAAAATTGAGTGATTGAGTCAGATGTTGCTGTCATCACTGAATATCACACCCCAGGGTCACTTGGAAGCAATGTTTGTTTCTTTGGAACTCACTCTAATATCCCAGGAGTTAGACTGAAAAGTAGAAGAAGGGCTTTAGGGAACCTGAGTGATGTCCCTGCCCTGGAAAAACTGAGACAAAGAGAACAGAGAACTCCCAGCCAGCATTGAGTGATGCCCTTAGGCCAACATCCAAGTTTCTCTATTCTCATTCCTCTGCCTTGCATGGCTGCCCAAGTCTCCACATCACCTCCTGAAATCTAGCTTCTCTCTTCCTCTCCTGCTCCATTCCCTCTACAAGAACACAAGCCTTGTAGACTCCATTCATTAACAGGCTCCCAGTGTTTGTTTCACATCTACCCTTTGAGCTGACTTCAAACCCAATGTAATGCTTTTGAAACAAGAATTTCTGTTTCTGTCACCTCCATCCCCTCCACCAGAACACAAGCCTCTTGGACTCTGGAAAAAGGCTCCTGAACTTTGGTTCATATCCATCCTTTTTGCTGATATCACACCCAATGCAATAAATGAGAATCTGTTCTGTCATTCCCTTCCTAGATCTTCCAACCCCTCAAAGCTTTCTGCAGTGTTACATTGCTTGGGATAAGACCTAATCTCTTTAGGTGTTTTAGAAAGCCTTGGGTTGCCTGGCTAGTGCTAGGCACTCTGGCTTTGTCTGGTATTTCTTGTTGTGCCCTTTCTCCCTCTCCTCCCTCCACCACCCATCTATGCATCTCTCATATGTGTTTTTGCACTCTCTTGCTGGAAGCAGCTCCCCTTGGCATGCAATACTCCCAAGGTCTTCAATCCTCTTGCTTTTAGCTCTTGGGATTTCAGTGGAGGTTTCATCCCTCAGAGGGCTCTTGATGGTTCTCATGAGGACAGCATCCTTAGAATAAACCCATCAGGACTTTATATAGCTCTTCACAGTTGCAAATTTACTTTCACTTTTTGTGATCATGTGGTTAAGGTTTGCTCATACTTACCAGGAGTTGATCCCCACAAAGGAAGTTGTGGGGATCACACATAGAAGTTGTGTCCATGTTGGGTGCAACCCTGCAGTTCCCAGGTCCAAAAAAACAAAAATGCAAAAACCTGGCATCAATTGGTGCCCAGCAAATATTGTATAACTGTGTGTGGAAAACATAATGGAATTTGGAATCAAGTGTCAGCTTGGAAGAAATACCCCTCTATTGTGTCTCCTCTTCTGCAAGATGTATAACTGAGCATGCCAGCAGGCAGCCAGCCTGGACACTGTGGACATCACCATTCCTCTTTAGAATTCTTTCATTCCATTATTTCTTCTGCTGCGTTGTAACTTGGAAGATCCCCCTCCTTCCCCGCACCTTCCCTCAGGAATAGAGTAAGAAATAGAAAGGTGCAGCTCACTCTGCAGGCCTGAAAAAAAAAAAAAAAAAAAGGAATTGCGGGCTCCACGTGACAATTACCTTTTAATTCAATTTGTAGGGATCCAAGTCTTTTCTTTTGTAGTGCTGTAATCAGGGGCAGAGTTGTATGGCAGAAGGTTGCCGGGAAAGGTTACACTTCCCTTGTCTGTCCTTTAAACTCTGTTTTAAATTACTATTTGTTTGTTCAATCCCTTGTGCAATAAATGCCCAGACAAGTTTTATTCTAAAAGAAAGGGTCAAAGAACATCAAGGAAGCCCTTCTGACCAAGAGACACTTTGCTTTGCTATCTGAAACTGGGAATAGAGAGCCCGATAAAAGAGTTGGGCAAGGCCAAAAGCTGGGCCACTTTGAACCTCTAACAGCTCTAAAGCAAAGGAGAAGGATAACAAGTCAAGCCTCAGCAGAATGTGAAAGAAGGGGAATGCTGGTTCTGTGCTTGGTGGGTTTGTAACTGGAAACCTCTGAACACGTTAATGCTTCATGTGATCTCCTCTTTGAGAAAGTAAGATAATACAATAACAATAACAACAATAATAATAATAACAGTAATAGATATTGATTTTTGAAGGCTCATGAGCGTCAGCTACCATTCTCAGTGTTTGTCTATGCAACAGTTCATTTCATTCCCATGAGGAACCCTTGGAGTATTACCAACAAGCCTTACTCTGCAGCTAGGGAAACTGAGGCTCAGAGAGTTGAAGTAACTTGCCAGAGGTCACTAGAGGCAGTCATATTTAGGTTCCTGTACCAATGTCATGATCATAACCACTTGATTCTGCAGACTCTGCTTTTGTGCTGGTCACTGTTCAGAGCTGTGCAAGCCTGCATGACTGCAGGGACCACGACCACCTTTTCTTGGTGATAGAGTGAGTAGGAAATGGATTGAAAGGATTTGCTAGGGGTTTGAGCCTAAGCTGTGCTATGTGCCTATGTTTTATTCCTGGTGCTATATATTTTTTAGAAAAATTTCTATAATAATTTATTTTTTTTATGTTAGGTTTTGTCTGCATGTGTCTCTGTGTAAGGGTGTCAGATCTTGGAGTTGCAGACACTTGTGAGGTGCCACGTGGGCTCTGGAAATTGAACCTGGACCCTTCTAAAAGAATAGTCAGTGCTCTTTACCACTGAGCCATCTCTCTAGCCTTTTTGAGAAGAATTTTAAGAAATTCTTTAAGAAACCCTTTAAGAAAAGGGTTTGTTCCTCTGATTCTTTTGCCTGTACTTGGGAGTCTTCGGTCTGTTGGTTTGCCTTGTCCAACCTCAATGTGATTTTTTTTTTTTAGGTTTTTGTTTGTTTGTGTGTGTTGGCTTTTTGAGACAGGGTTTCTCTGTGTAGTCTTGGATGTCCTGGACTTACTTTGTAGACCAGGCTGGCCTTAAACTCACAACAATCTGCTTGCCTCTGACTCCCTGAGTGCTGGGATTAAAGGCACACACCACCACTCCTGGATAATGGTTTTTGTTTTAATCTTATTCTATTTTGTTTTGTCATGTTTGGTTGTTTTCTCCTAGAAGGACTCTTCTTTTCTGGTGAGAGAGAGAGAAAGGAATGAATCCAGAAGGGAGGAGGGTGGCGAGAAGCTAGGAGGAGTAAAGGGTCGGGGAACTCTAATCAGGGCATATTACATGAGATAAGAATCTATTTTCGTTCTTTCTTTCTTTTTTTTTTTTTTTTCAAGATTTATTTATTATCTATACAGTTTTCTGCCTGCCTGTACACCTGCAGGCCAGAAGAGGGCACCAGATCTCATTCTAGATTGTTGTTGAGCCACCGTGTGGTTGCTGGGAATTGATCTCAGGAACTCTAGAAGGGCAGCCAGTGCTCTTAACCTCGGAGCCATAAAAGAAAAAAGAAGGTTCCCCACACATGGTTACGTTTGCTTATTGGAAGGCCAACAGGGGAACAGGGAATGCTGCACCAGGCACTGCTCTAAACGTGGCTCTGGGTGTCTGGAAGTGATGGTGAACTAGCTGGGAAGCTTCCGGTCAGAGAGTCAGGAAACCTCTGTGGAGCCAGAGACTTTCTGGCTGGGGGCAGCCATGGGTGGGACTCTTGAAAGGGAAAAGTGGGTGGGTGGGCCTATCAGGAAGGAACTGAAGAGCTGACACCTGGAGACAGGTAGGAGTTGGCAGGGCTGTGTTGACAAGACTCAGGATAAGAGCCCGGTGCTCTGCTAAAATACTTTCTTTTTAGATCAGCTAAGATTATGCTTGCTTTCTCATGAGGTTTTGGCAGGAAGGCAAGTGTTTGTTAAAAGGGTTTTCCAAGGTTTCTTGTTTGTTTGATTGTTTTGTTTTTGTTTTTCTCCTGAGATGGTCAGGATGATAGGCAATTCAGTTGGATTGGCTTGACTGGAAAGAACATCTCCCAAGAACGGGTGAATTTGTGCCAGGGTTGGTGGGCACCTGTGGGAATGTGGGTGTGGAAGAACCTGGGTGTAAAAGGATGTTTAGAAGCTCAACTGGGTGGGCTCATTAGGAAGTTCAGCAGGCATCAATCTGCTTTGCAGCCTACTCCTTGGAAGATTCAGTTTATAAAGTGTCAAATTGCTGATTTCTCTGAGACCTCTCAGACGCATTGTCTCAAGTCATGGTCAGGGGTTATTTTTTGGAAACGGGAGATTAAGCTGAGAAGGAAACTGGCTTTTATGGGGAGCTGAGGCTATGCGCGATGCCTCACTTAATATTCCGAACCTCAGAGGGTAGGCGTTGCCAGTCCTTCATAGGTAGAGAGAACATGAGAGGCTAAAGAGAGCATCCCGGTTGAGCTGCCCTCCAAACACCAGCCTCCATTCTAGTCTATTGATCCCACAGCCCAGAGAGGTTTTTTTAATTGAGAATTTTATACACATATATCATTTTTTTTTCTTTTGAGAAAAGGTCTCACTATGCAGCTTTGGCTGGCCTGGAACACACTATGTAGACTACACTATGTAGAATATGCTGGCCTTGAACCCTGCCTGCCTTTGCCCCCCTCCCCCAACTGCTGGCATTAAAGCCATGACATTCATGTATGGCTGGACTACTTCTCCTAGCCATACATAAAGGGTTTTGATCTAATCCACCCCCCATTCCCTACCCCCTAATCCCATACCCACCCTAAATCCCCTCCCTGCTTCTCGAGCTTTCTATCTTAAAGAAAAAACACCGAGTTGGCTTAGTGCTATCTACTGGAAGCGCATGGCTGTATGAGCATCTACTGGAAGACAGGCAGCCATTCAAGGTCCAAACCAGCTCCCTTCCACAGCAGCCATCAGCTGCCAGTGAGACTTCATGAGCCTTTACCTTGTCCATCAGAGACCAGGGCTTTTAATCATTGGGCCCTACTCAGTTCTCAAAGAGAATAAAATATTACAAGAACTCAGAGCTAATTCATTCACTCACCCAGACTGCCAGCTGCAGAGAACATCCCTTCTTGAGCACCTGATATTGGACAGCTACAATGAGGGGCTATGTGAAGAGTCAGGGAACATGGATTTTGGTGTTAAGCTCCAATGGATCAGAATTTGCCTCCTCTTCTTCCAGGCTGTGCATTTGACATTTCCAGTCAATTTCTCAATATGACATCCTCCAACTGCACTGGGTGATAGGATGCCCTGGACAGCTGTGGGGGTGCCATGTGAGACACAGGAATCCCTTAGGGAAGGAAGCACCTGCTTTCCTCGAGGTCTGCTGAAGTTTGTCACAAAGGTTTGTTACTCTACTTGGCGGGGGCAAAAGTCATGCCCTTGCCTTTAATGGAGCTTATGTCAGATGGGTCGCAAGGGTGGTCAAGGGCAGAAAGTTACAGAATGACAGGTGTGGTGGCAGATGTTGTGCTCATGACATTCATCTAAGAAATCCCCTCTGAAAAAAAAGTTATTCTGCGTCCTGGCCATTTCCCTCATTAACATTGGTGGGAAGCATTGTCTCCAATTCTGCTTCCATCTTTGCCAAGACCTAGTAATGTTTTGATCTCCGTGAGAACGGTGGGCTTGAAGCACTGGTCTAACTGAAGCCCGACTTGTCTCTTGCAGGATGGGTTGGTCCCTGAGGACAATTGTCTCCACTGCCAGGGGTCTGGCATCACCACCTGTTCTCTGTGCCATGGCAGCAAGTTCTCGATGCTGGCTAACAGATTCAAGGAGTCCTATCGAGCCCTCAGGTGTCCGGCCTGCAACGAGAATGGCCTGCAACCTTGCCAGATTTGCAACCCATAGCTCGTAGCTCTGGTTTTCACATCTGCCTTCATTGCACGCTCTCACACGTTACTCCTAATAAGCTACCCCTCTTCTTCCTGCCTCTCTCAGAAAGGAAGCCTGCTGCAGCTGCAATCACTCCTATCGCTAGCAAATCTCAAATTATTTGATGACGTTTTTGAAGCTGGTAACATCTCTGCATGGGTCTGAGTAACAGGGGCATTTTTGAATTGGAAGCTGCTTTGAAACTGGCCCTAAAACGATCTTTCCAAGAACATGTGCATGTATCTCATTTGATTTAGCTCAGTTTTCCCCCCTGCACCAGTGAACAAATAAATAAATGTACTCTTCAGGCGGCAGGTTGAAGTCATTTTCCGGGCTGGGAGTTATTTTGCAAAATTATGTGGTGAGAAAGGAATAAAGAAGTGGATTTCCAATGAGCCAAATTCCTGTTGCTTATAACACATCTGAAATTGTCATTGGTCAAATAGAATTTCTAATGAAGCAGAAGAGGGAAGGGACAGCCAACACTGGAGGCCCTGGCAGGCCTTTGCAAGCAAAATAGGATGCTCGTTTCAGAGACAGGTGGGCTGAGGAGGCCCTTCTGTAGCTGCTCCTGTGTGGCATGCTCTGGCACTCACTAGGAAGGTAGGGAGCTGCACTCCCACTCAGGCGAGGATGAGATAGAATGCTTCTGTGTGCCTCTAACTGGCGAGGTTATAAGCCACACCAAATCTATTTATGATAAATTTGTGGCTCAAGCACGTATCTGTGATAAGACTTCTGCCAGCTCTGCAGTAAATTACCAGATACACAGGTCTATTTTAAGACTGAGATCCAGCCTCTTTAGAAAGGACAGCAGGTGTTTCGAGCTGATCTCCAGAAGCTCTCTAAGAGAAAAAACCAAGAGGGCTGGTAATTAGACATTGTGTTTCTACAGCCCACGAATGCGTGTGTGAAGGGTGACTCTTCCCTCCTAAAGATGGTTATTAAGTTTTGAAAACACGTTTGTTAATGAACTTTTGTAGCTTGAACACCCACTCTCCAAATTCCCTGAGAAAGACACCGAAACCCGTTATTTAGTGAGACATGCTGCTTATCTTCAATAATAATTCTGATTTCATGTCTTAGTAATTCTCCAAGGTTTGTTTGTTCTTCTCTTAAAGTCGGTTACATCAACAGTGGGTTGCATTCAGGCAATACAAACACTTTTTAATACAAAGATGCAAACACTCTTTGAAGCTGCGCTGGTCCGCTGGGCTCTCCTGTAGCTCACCTGATTCCTTTGTGTCTCTGTGTGATTGCCTCCTGACTCCATGTGTACTGCTTACAGTTGTTCACCTTTCTGCCTTCCCAACATCGTGGAAGCAGTGGTGTCAAGAGACGTTTAAGCGCTTTGCTCTTTGGTGGGCACATTCTGCCACAAGCACAGTTTGGACCCTGACTTGCCCACTTGCTTGAGGCTGCGTGTAACCTAAAGACACCAAGCCTTTGGCATCCCGTGGGTCTTACAGTTTTAGTGGAGGCTGACTTGTAACAGATAGGTAAAGTGCAGCGCAGCTTTACTGGAGTAGGACAGTTATGGGACGGGACTAAAATAACTGGAGCAAAAGAAGGCTACCTCATTAGACTTCGTGGCGTTTTTCTTTCCATTGGTGCTGGGGCTTGGATACAAGAAAAAAATGCATGCTAAGCACAGTTTCACCCCTGAATTGTCTTTAGCCACTTCTTTGGTGGGATTAGGGAGGCTGCCCATAGGAGGTGTGAGCCACGTTGGCTTGTCCTCCTTACACACGCACACTCAAGCACGCACGTGTGTACACACTCACAGTTGTCATTTTCTTGCCTGTCCCACATGCTCTTAAGGGCGGCTACTTTTTAAAATAAGCATACAATAAAAATGTCTATTAATGGTTATAATAATTGTGTTTATCAGTAGGTGCTTATTGTGAAGGAAACACTTCACATATGACCTCTTAATAAGGTATTAAATATATAAAACCTTACTGTTGGATGAATATATAAACTTCTGAAACTATGACCCCCAAACCAAATTTTCTTCTTTAAAAAAAAAATCTATTGAGCATTAAAGCTATAGAAGAAGGCAAAAAGACAAAATCCTGGCTCCTCTGGAACTTGTATTTTGGTAAGGGGGGAATCGATGCCTAAATACATGTATCTACAAATTACTAATACATCTGTTATATATGCATTAAAGAGCTATATAAAATCTATATAAAATATGGTACAGAGAAATACACAGTTATACAACACAGCTACGGACAGAACGTATAGCATGTTAGAAAGAGACAAATCGATGCTAAAGAGCACCTCAAGGGACTGAGAGCTGGAAGTGGTCGCAGACAGCGACACTGAAAAGTGTCCTTAATGCCAGGCAGTGGTGGTGCTTGCCTTTCAAACTAGAACTTGGAAGGCAGAGATGCGTGGATTTCTGTGAGTTGAAGGCCAGCCTGGTCTACAGAGTGAGTTTTAGGACAGCCAGGGTTACACTGAGAAACCCTGTCTTGAACCCCTACCCACCCCCACCAAAAAAAGAAAGAAAAGAAAAGTCTTCAGTAAAGGCCTAGCAGATGTCTTGGGTTAGAGTAGACCTCGTAGAAGAAACAGCCAGGCTAGACTTACAGGAAGGAGAGGGGCCAAGAAGCCATCGTGGTCTCAGGCAGCACACAGTGGGACAGATGGGGGGAGGGGTGGCAGAAGTGAAGGCGTGCCTGAGTGTGGTGTGTGTGTGCTCAGCATGTGAGGTGTGCGTGCTGTGCTGGGTGGTGGGAGCCTTTCTCAGAAGCCATGCTAACAACCTGGATTACTGTGACATGCTGCTGAGGTTTAGGCAAGGTCGCAGGATCCCCTTCTAGAATTTCCCCTGATGTGTGGGACAGGGACCTGCAAAGTACACTTCCCAGGCGCCTTAGCCTGATGGTGTCCTGCCAAGTCCTCCCAATGGGCAGGAGGCTACGTGTGGGAGAAAGAAAGACTCTTCCCACCTTACCCCCACCCCCATCACTGCCCTTCTACAAGCCAGGCCTCTGGCTGCTTGTGCCACAGGATTTCTGTTCTAGCAACTAGGAATCTTGGTAAGCAAATCTTGTAATGGGTTCCCTGTTTGAAATGTGTCGAATAGGTTCTCTTCTTGGTTGGTGATGACTGGCATAAATGTTTGAACAGGAGATGCAGGGCTTTTGTTTTTGTTTAAAAATTTCTTTTTCTTTTTCTCCCCACTTGGCTCCTGGGTTGGGAAGGGAAGCAGCAGGATAAAAGAGGAGAAATGGGAGGAGGGTAGAGGGTGGTGGTCACGACCCTGGCGGTGGCTCACAGTAGCTAGAGCCTGTGTGGTACAAAATGGTCCAACTGTGGATGTGTTCTGAAGGTAGAACCACAGGTTTATTTACTTCTCTTTGTGGTCAGAAATGTCCACTTTATGACTTGTGAACTTCGCATGCTGCGGGTTGTGGGGACAGAGGGCTGCTTAGGGAAAGGTAGACTGGTCCTCTCAGGACTCTTAAGAATCCTTGGAAACAAGTGTGAAGACTACAAAACACCGTCTCCACAATGCTGTGGTGCAATGATGCTATGTTCTCTGAAAGTGCAACAACTTTTTAGTGAACAAGTGAGTTTAAACATAATAATGTTTCACAGAGTATGGTGGCTGATGCCTGCAAGTTCGATGGAGAGGTAGAAGCTGGAGGATGCTGAGTCTGAGATCTGCCTGGTTACACAGTGGGACTTTGTCTCCAAACCAACCAACCAACCAACCAACCAACCAACCAACCAACCAACCAACCAACCAACTAACCAACCGGCCAACCAGCCAGCCAGCCAGCCAGCCAGCCAACCAAACCAAACCAAACCAAACCAAACCAAACCAAACCAAACCAAA